GTAGTTCTTCAGATGGTCATGTTACACCAACTTTATTGCTCGTAGTTTTTATAAACATCTTATCCCAGCCTGCAGCTGGCTTTTTCAATTTCTTTTTTTGTTTTTGGCTTTTTCACATTCTTAATGATGCTTTTGATTAATATAAGTTCTTGATTTTAATGTCCAATTTTATAGAATCTTCTTTAAGCATTTTTTGTGTCTTGTGTAAGAAATATTTGCATGAAGTCAGTGAGGTATTTGCCTATATTTTTTCTTAGATGCTTTATTGTTTTACCTTTCGCATTTAGATCCACAGTCCATATGGAATTTCTTTGTTTATAATATAGAGGTAAGATTTCCTTTTCTTCTATTTGTAGCTCAATAGACTATAAATCTAGCACCATTTGTTGGCAAGGTCATCTTTTCCTGCTGCACTGCAGTGGCACTTTCGAATTAAGTCAATTAACCATATATGTGTGAATGGAAATCTCTATTTCCCCATTGTTTCAATGTTCTAATTGTGTGTATTGATTTGTCATATATTTTGTCTGATTTCTCTAAGCATTTGACATATGTCCTTGATAATTTGCTTAATAATTTCAATAGCTTTTTAATAGACTCTTTTGGACCTTCTACATACGCAGTCTCATCTATGAATACTGACAGTTTTATTTCTTCCTTTTCTGTCTTTATACCACTTTTTCCCTGCCTTGTTATAATAGCTAGGACCTCTGGTATAATGGTAAAGAGACTGACATGTGGCATCCTTGTCTTGCTCCCAGTGGTAATGTGTATGGGGGATCTTTTAACATTTCACTTCTAAATATAATGTTTCCTGTAGGCTTGTAGTTTAAATAATCATGTATCAGGTCACACAATTTTCTTTTCTTCCTAATTTGTTAAAAATTTTATCTTTATTTTTTATTAATTTTGAAGGGGTATTAGATTTTATGCATTTTTTTAACTGTACTTTAGGTTCTGGGGTCATGTGCAGATCATGCAGAATTGTTGCATTGGTACAAACACAGCAAGGTGGTTTGCTGCCTCCATACACCTGTCACCTATATCTGGCATTTCTCCCTATGTCATCCATCCCCAAACTCCCTACCCACCACTGTCCCTCCCCTAACTCCCCTAACAGACCCCAGTGTGTGATGCTCCCCTCCCTGTGTTCACGTGTTCTCATTGTTCAATACCCGCCTATGCATGAGGACATGTGGTATTTGATTTTCTGTTCTTGTGTCAGTTGACTGAGAATGATGGTTTCCAGTTTCATCCACGTCCCTGCAAAGGACGTGAATTCATTGTTTTTCATGGCTGCATAGTATTCCATGGTGTGTATGTGCTACATTTTCCTTGTCCAGTCTATCATTGATAGACATTCAGGTTGGTTCCAGGTCTTTGCTATTGTAAACAGTGCCACAATGAACATACTTGTGCTTGTGTCTTTATAATAGAACAATTTATAATCCTTTGGGTATATACCCAGTAATTGGATTGCCAGGTCAAATGGAGTTTCTATTTCTAGATCTTTGAGGGATATTAGATTTTATAAATTGCTTTTCTCTGCATCTACTGAGGTAAAATGTAAATATTGTGTTGATTCTATTAATATGAATTACATTCTTTGATTTAAAAATGTTAAATCACCCTTGTGTTTTAGAAATAAACCTAACCTTTCTGGGATATATATATATATATATTTTAACTATAGCACTGTAGTTTATGACATATTAGGATTTTTCATTATGTATTTTGAAAGCTTCAAAAATTTAACAACACAAAAATTTATGTCAATAAGTAACAGATCTACACTGTCAATTTTAATGACTCAATGCTTTCTCATAATTATGTAGCATAATTTAAATTCATAGTTGAATTTTGGTTTTCAAGATTTTTTTGCTCTCATAAACAGCACTTTACTGTACACCATTGTGCATGCATATTTAACTTGTACCTATGTTCCAAATACTAATTAATACTATCTTTTTGATATATATGTAACTTAATACATACTAATTACTCAAGAATTAGAAACCCAGATTTTCTGGTTGCTTTCTATGTTTGCTAAGTAGTAGAAGCTCCCTAATGTATAATTATTGAGGTTGCTACTGTTAGCTCTGACTAAAGATTAATCCTTTTCAAAGGAAAATAGGACCTGAGAAGTCAAATATCTAAATACCTTAGTGCTAAAATGGAACATAACATGGGAAAATGCTTTGTGAAACAATGGAATTCAGTCTCAGGAAACCTTAGACAATGACAAGAACAAGGGAATGAAGTAAGAAATACCTGGTTCACATATCAATTATCAGCTGTGTAATTTTAGGCAAATTAGTTCTTGCTGTAACCCTGTTTCTTCACCAATACAATAGAAATATATGAATATTAGAGGATTATTGAGAAATTAAAATAAGCAGCTCCTTCTACTGCATCTTTTACAGAGTTTGCATTTAATAAGTGGTAATTTGCTTCAGTTTCTCATTAGTCAAGAGGCTGTTTTTAAAAAGAATGAGAGTCTAGAAAGAATTTGCTAGTTTTCCATTAAAGAGACTCAGAAATTTCTTTTCTTCTATCTTATTTTCTATTTTTCCATGATTTTTTCTGTCCTTTCTAACCTTAATTCGAATCGAAACAATTATTCTCTATATTGTTATCTATTTTTTAAAGTATATATTATTTTCCTATCCTTTCAGTGGATTTCTTTTTGAAGGCCATGGTTGTCAAAATGTGGTCCAGGGGCTTCTAGGGGTGTCCAAGAGTCTTTCAGGGGTCTGAGATAACAATTATTTCCTAAATAATATTAATATATCTTGCCTTTCCTCCCCTTTTCTTTCATGAATATACAGTGGAATGCTCTAGAGGCTCCACTGGGTGTGATATCACAACAGATTGAATGCAATAGCAGATATGAGGATAAAACCATCTTCTACTAAGCCAGATATTTAAACAATTTGCAAAAAATATAAAAACAATACTATTATTGTTACTAGATTTTTTACTTTGAATAATAGTTATTTTTCATATAATTATATAATTTGTGTTAATATGTAATGGGATTATTGGTTTATTGCTTTTTCACTCTCTCTTTATTTTGTTTATTTATTTTTAGAACTGGGGTCATGCTCTGTTTCTGGGCTGAAGTGCAGTAGGGTGATCATAGCTCACTGTAGCCTCGAACTCCTAGGCTCAAGTGATCCTCTTGCTTCAGCCTCCTGAGTATCTGGGACTACAAACATGCACCACCACACCTGACACGCTGTTATTTCCAAATGAATAAATGAATATTTTTTTAAACTTCTCAGTTTTAATTTCTAATATGACAAATAATAACAAATGCAACTCACAAAACAAAAGCTTGTTGGGGGTCCTCAATTATTTTTAACAGTGGAAAAACATCCTGAGACTGCAATGAGAATCACAGCCCTAGAATCACATGCCTCCTTGATTTCATGCAGTTTAATATAAATTAGTACTTTAACTTCTTCCTTGATAATATTGTGACCTAATAGTAGTTTATGTCCATTTATGTTTCAGTCTTTTGTATTGTTTATATGCATCTTAATTCTGCCTATATTTTTTTTTACCACACAAGACTTTATTAAACTTTTGTATGGTCAATATTAACTTACATTTACTAAGATATTAATCTTTCCATTTTTCTTTATCCTTTCCTGTATTTATAGTTTTTGGTAAGTAATGCTTTCTCTACTACCTGATTGAGTGCTGGATATTATTTTTGAGAAACTACTGGATATTGTATATTAAAAATTATAGCAATTCTGGATATTATCCTCCTATAGAGTGGATTCATTCTGTCCTCTGGTGGGCAGCCTGTTTAAAGACAGATCACCTTGATCCAATCAGGAATTGAGGTGATTTTTGCTTGGGTTTGAGACATTTTTCTTCTTTTTTGAGTGTCAGTCTAAATTTTGTGTTAGGGCTAGAGTATAGCTTGTTAGGGATCTCAACCAAGAGGAGCTGTGTTTACTAGAACCATTTCTGTTTTGTGGAAACTCAGATCTAAGAAACTACCTGAAAACTTGGCTCCACTGTTGAGCAGTTTTCTACTTAGCTTCTTACTTAGGCTGTTGCTTCACACAGCAGATGAATTCAGCAAATCTCATCGTGGAAAATAGCAGTGTTCAGCTCACTTTTCTTTCTCTCTTCTCTCTGGGCTGAGATGTTGGTCATTAAAGTTCTGGTTGTCTTGACAGCCTCAAACTGCACTTATTTACTTATACATTAGGTCTAATGATTCTTTTTAAATTTTACTTTAAGTTCTGGGATACATGTGTGGGACGTGAAGGTTTGTTATATAAACCTTTATAAACGTATAAAGGTATACGTTTGCCATGATGGTTTGTTGTAGCTATCAACCCATCACCTGGGTTTTAAGCCCCACATGCATTAGCTATTTGTCCTGAAGCTGTCCTTCCCATCCACCCCGCCACTCCCCTGCCCCCACAGGCCCTGTTGTGTGATGCTCCCCTCCCTGTGTCCATGTGTTCTCCTTGTTCAGCTTCCACTTACAGTTGAGAGTATCTGGTGTTTGGTTTTCCGTTCCTGTGTTAGTTTGCTGAAGATGATGGTTTCCAGCTTCTTCCATGTCCCTGCAAAGGACATAATCTCATTCTTTTTTATTGTTACATAGTATTCCATGGTGTATATGTAACACATTTTCTTTATCCAGTCTATCATTGATGGGCATTTAGTTTGTTTACATGTCTTTGCTATTGTAAATAGTGCTGCAATAAGCATACATGTGCATGTATCTTTATAGTAGAAAAATTTATATTCCTTTGGATATATACCCAGTAATGGGATTGCTGAGTCAAATGGTATTTCTGATTCTAGGTCCTTGAAGAATCACCACACTGTCTTCCACAATGGTTGAACTAATTTATCTTCCCACCAACAGTGTAAAAATGTTCCTATTTCTCCACAGCTTTAACAGCATTTGTTGTTTCTTTACTTTTTAATAAACATCATTCTGACTGGCGTAAGATGGTATTTCATTGAAAAATATGGAACGCTCACAAATTTGTGTGTCATCCTTGCACAGAGGCCACGCTCATCTTCTCTGTATCATTTTAATTTCAGTATATATGCTGCCAAAGTGAGCACAAACTTCATTTATTTTTCTTCTAGTCTTGTGAGTTTCCAAAAACTCTGTTGCTTCTCTCCCTTCTATCCAGAGTCCTCTGCCTCACTTGCCAGTCTCTCACCCTATACTATAATAGGCAAATGCTCCAGAGGAAAAAGCCACTTGTAGTGTGTTAGTTTACCTCTCTGTGCTTCTATTTTCTGAGGTTTTGGTCCCTCAACTTCTAGTTGTCTTGGCAATTTTCAGATGCCCTCTGGTTGTCCCCTGTACTGTACATGAATCTATAACAAGATAATCTACCCTAGTAGGCCAGTGGATGTCTCAAAATCAACCAGGCTGGCTCATTAGAATGAGCTCATCATTTCTGCTCCTTCACCTCAGGCTGCAGTAGTGTCCAGTAATTTTACGAGGAGGTTATTACAAGGATAGACACTAAGAACTGTCTGAGTTTCATTCCTCATTTCTTTATTTACCAGCTTTGTGTCTCTGTGAAGATCATTTATTTTTTTCTAAGCCTCAGTTTCCTCATCTGTAACGTGGAGCTGATCATAGAAGCTATCTAGAAGGTTTGTGAGAATGAAATAAAAGAATCCACAAATACATTATAGTGCTTGGCAAATAGTGTGTGTTAGATAAATATTAACTACTATTAATATCTGTAGATTTTATGTAAGCACAATCATTACAAGGGTTATTCAATATAACAAATTAAATGTAAATTACTTATATTCCTTTACAATGAATATTATTAAATAGATAAAAGCTGAGTTAGAATAAGTGAAGGATAGTTTTAATGAATTTTTATATTTTAATTTGTTTTGTTGCCTCAATTTCATCACCTATAAATAATCTACCAATTATATATTTGGCCCCAGAGCCTAATAATGCTTAGTTGAGCTGTTTATATTAACATCCTCATCCTCAAACTGTAGTTTTATGTTAAAAGTTTATGTAGTTAATTATAAACAAATAATCAAACTCCTTCCCTTCTTCTTCCACATGTCCCAAATAACATTTCAATGCTACTATGTGATTCTAGATATGTAGCAGGAATATTTACTTAAGCCTACTTTTTATTCTGAGAATTCATGCACAACAGGGCAGATTCCCAAGCCTTGTGGAAAGTGCCTACCTACAGGCTTGTTTCAAAGGAACTCTGGGATAGAATGCACTTTAACTGAAAACAAGTGAGATCTGTACTTGCTTGGTTAAAAGAACAATTGCCTATGGTGAGAGTGGAGAGGGTTTTCCGAATGTAGAATATGTGCTATAATTTGGGTTGCCCTCTGGCCCAGTCCATCTGGAATCTTGCCTGAGTCTTAGCCTGAGGCACTGTAATGACACTGAGCAAAAGCTAAAAGGGCTGTTTCATTCCAATCTCTTAAGTGGATGAGAATGTTTTACATCAGCAGCAGTGCTGTCAGGCGCTCCTACAGAAATAGTAGAAGGCAGTAGACTGTGCCAATGGTTTCAGTAGCAACAGATGAAGCCAGTGCCCTTGTTGCAGATATTAGCTCCCTCCAAAATGAATAGTGGCAGACTTGATGCTAATATGGGTAAACACTGGACCTGAAGCAGTGCTTCTGGCAGGAATCAGCATCAATTGCCTCTTTGCTGGGGCAATCTTGTGACTTTCTGGCATTAGTGTTTATAGGACACCTGGTCAAAGAGACAGTAGTAGAAAGAGACTGGAGAAAGAGGGATGGAGAATGCCACAGCGTAGTTAAACAACACATGGGAAATTCTCCTTGTAGACTCCCAGAGTTATTTGGAAGATGTCTGAAGGAGGTTGGAATTTCTACAGAGTAGGTAGAGGCAGAGCCATGCTTTGTGACTGTCACTGTAATATGTCATTATCCCTTGGCTAGAGTAGCTTGGGAAATACAGGGCTTAAGAATAATAATAGTGGTAATAATACAGGACCTACTATAGTTTTTCAAATACATCAACAAAATATAGAGAACTGCCATGCATGCTAATATTCACCCTTCATTTAGCTCCCAAGATCCAAAGGAAACAGGAAAGTATACTAAATGTGACGTTAAAGAAATATAATTTTTTAAAGGACAATGAACCAGAAACTGAAACAGCCTCATGGGAATGTTTAATTATGGGCACAACTCCTATGGTAATTGTTTGTGGATGAGATTAAAAACCACTTAAGAATATATCTCATTGTTTTAAGACCATGGCTCAGATTTGGACCAAAATGGCATTGTTACACTGCTTGTTTACTCACCTTTCTATCCTTTGAGTTTCTGTAAGGCACAGTCAACAAATGATAATATTGATGTTGCCAAAACTCAATTTCGCCCACAAAGAGGAAATACATTTAAAAATATGCATCATAAACTCTGAAGAATTTATAATAAAGGAGTACTAGGGAAATAATTTGACCAATACAATTCTCCATTATATAAAAAAGTATTTTGTAGATACTGCTTAAAAAACCCTCAGGCAAATTGAGTTTTTACAGTTCATATTTTTTCAAATACCACATCAATTCACTAAGCGTCCATTGAATGCTTACCAGTGCAAGATAGTAATGAAATAATCAGAGAAATGGATATAGAATTGCAACTGTAATAAGTCCTAGAAAGAGAGCTACATAGCACCATAAAAATGTATCTTTGTCTGAGGGGTCAAAAAAGGCTTGTTGAGGGAAGTCACACCTAAATCCAGAAATAGAAGAGGCCAGGTGCTTTATCTTAAGAATTATTATTCTTAAGTCCATTTATAGGCTTGTGGCTCACACCTGTAATCCCAGCATTCTGGGAGGCTGAGGCAGAAGGCTCACTTGAGCCCAGGAGTTTGAGATCAGCATTAACAATGTAGAGAGACACTGTCTCTACTAAAAAAAAATAATTACCCAGCATAGGGGCTCACGTCGGTGTTCCCACGATATGGGAAGTTGAGGTGAGAGTATTGCTTAAGCCCAAGAAGTCGAGGCTGCAGTGAGACATGATTGTGTCACTGTTCTCTAGCCTGGGGTAACAGAGTAAGACCCTGTCTCAAACAGCAGATGACATGATTGTATATTTAGAAGGCTCTATCCTCTCAGCCCAAAATCTCCTTAAGATGATAAGCAACTTCAGCAAAGTCTCAGGATAAAAAATCAATGTGCAAAAATCACAAACATTCCTATACACCAATAACAGACTAACAGAGAGCCAAATCATGAGCAAGTTGTCATTCACAGTTGCTACAAAGGGAATAAAACACCTAGGAATACAACTAACAAGGGACGTGAAGGACCTCTTCAAGGAGAACTACAAACCATCGCTCAAGGAAATAAGAGAGGACACAAATAGATGGAAAAACACTCCATGCTCATGGTTAGGAAGAATCAATATTGTAAAAATGGCCATACTGGCCAAAGTAATTCATAGATTCAATGCTATCTCCATCATGCTACCATTGACCTTCTTCACAGAACTGGAAAAAAGCACTTTAAACTTCAAATGGAACCAAAAGAGAGCCTGCATAGCCAGGACAATTCTAAGCAAAGAAAAAACAAAGCTGGACCCGGGGAAAAGATGGCTGAGTGGAGACAACTCCCATATGCAACACCCAGTGAGAGAGATGCAGAAAATGAGAGATCTTCTAGCTCCAGCTGAGGTATCAGATTCATTTCAATGGGCCTGGTTGAAAAGTGAACAAAGCCCAGGCAGGGCAGAGTGAGGCAGGGAGGGGTGCTGCTTTACTCAGAAAGTTCATCTGATCAGTGAGTTGGGTGCTCCCCTCTGGCACCCCGGTCCAGATATAGCACTTCCACCAAAGCCTCAGCAATTCACATAACAGGGGATCTTTGCCAGTCAAGCACAGTGTTGAATAATAATCCAGGCCAGTGCCTTGGATTGTTGCACAGATCTAAACAAATGCATAAGCCCATAAGCCGCTGAGAGAGTCTGCAGACCGAGCTATCGCCCCCTCCCCACTGCCCAGAGAGAAAGGGAGCTGAAAGCAGGAAGACAGACAGGGCAACTGGGTGAGCCTCTCCCCCATGACTGGAAAGAGAGGGAGCTGAAAGTGGGGAGACAGACACTGAAGCTGGGTGGGTCCATACCCTCCCCAACAAACCCCAGTGGACTGAAGCACTAACTCTAGCTACTTTTGCAGTCAGTACCTCAGTCTGAGCTGAACGCTGAATGAGCCAGCTCTGTGGAGGAAAGGGGCAACCCCCCGTTTAAGAGGCAGGCCTAGTCTTCAGGTTTTAACAAAAAACACAGGAAGCCTATGTAGCAATGGGACGGTGTCCTTGACAACTCAGCAGCACTTCCAGGTCAGAAGAAGGAGGGGCACCCACCATTAAAAGGGTGGGCCTAACCTCCCAGTGTAAACAAAAACACACAGGAAGCCTATGTAGCAACCTGAAGGAGTCACTGGAAACCCAGTATCACATTGACAAGCAGACAAGTGACCTCATCAAGCAGCTTCCTGAGATCAGAGGTAGATAAATCCATGAAGATGAGAAAAATGGAGCACAAAAAGAATGAAACCATTAAAGACTAGAACACCTCTTCTTCTTCAAGGGATTACAACTCCTCACCAACATGGGAATAAAACCTGACAGAAAAAGAGTTCGACGAATTGACAGAAACAGGCTTCAGAAGGTAGGTAATAACAAACTTCTCTAAGCTAAAGAAACATGTTCTAACCCAATGCAAAGAAACTAAAAACCTTGAAGAAAGGTTAGAAAAAATGCTAACTAGAATAACCAGCTTAGAGAAGAACCTAAACGACTTGATGGAGCTGAAAAACACAGCACGAGAACTACATGAAGCAAACACAAGTTTTAATAGCCTAATTGATCAAGTAGAAGAAAGGATATCAGAGATTGAAGACTGACTTAATGAAATAAAAAGAGAAGACAAGACAAAAGAAAAAAGAGTGAAAAGAAATAGACAAACCTCCAAGAAATATGGGAATATGTGAAAAGACCTAATCTATGCTTAATCAGTGTATCTGAATGTGATGGGGAGAATGATTCCAAGCTGGAAAACACTTCAGAATATTATCC